TAGTTATTGAATACCCAAAGTCTATATTGATATTAAGTAATTCCTTCCTCTATCATCCATCACAAATATCAAAATGAGACATATTCATTTATTTTCCTAGCAAAGTGATCGGCACACGTGATTTTAATTTAATTGTAATTTAGCTTTTCTGCAATTAATATATTATTTTATTATAACAAATACGATATGGATCAAATTTTTGATTTTAAAGCAATGAAAGATGCCGGAATTAATTTTTCAGTGAAGTACCTTGATTCGGATGATGATATACCCAGAGATTACGAAAAAACAAGCGAATTTCGTTATATAAAAAAATTAGTAAAAAAACTTAATAATAGTAAATTTCTAGATTACTTTGATAAATGTCAGGAATGTGGTAAATTGTTTCATGAGCCATGGGGAGGTGGTTATTGTATAAAACATATAGTAAATAAGTATGGATGTTGTAGAAATCATTGTTGCATTGATGAAGGATCTGGACATTGCATATTACATTGCGTAAAAAAATTCAATGGATCTAAGAAATCCTTTTTTGCGTAATCTGCAATGGCGTGGAGTTTTATCTGGATGAGGTAATTCAATATTTTTTAAACGTTCGATTATTTCATTCAGAGGTTTATTATTGCCAATTCGGAAATATACGTATTTTATATTCTCTAATGATAGGCCATTAACAAATTTTACTTTAAGATTTTCATTATCTAGATCCACGTCCAAGTCTTGCTCTAAATAGATAAGCGATGTCTGGAGATCATCAAGTTCTTCTGGGCTCTTGTTAAGTACCATACCATATTAATCAAAATTACTATTGATATATTATAAACTATATCTCTAGCAGAAAAAAAAATAACTAATGATTATTTATCTATTTCCATTATATCTACTATCACCCGCAATCCATGATGAGTAATCAAGAAAAAATTTGCCGATATCAGTAAGTCCTGATATAATAGCTTTATAGGTCTTTTTGATTCCAAGTTGGATTGCATCACATTTCTGCTAACATCGAATCTATTTCCGCAAGTTGGGTATCAAAAGGATTATAATGCTCTCTGTGCACTTCCTTCGAAAGATCGTTATTCTTAGGCTGAGATTTAGGTTCGGGTTCAGTATTAGTATCAGGATTGGTATCGGAATCAGAAGAAGTGTCACCCTCAGCATAATAAGTTCCAGAATCAAAACGGTCGATCTTATGTCTCATTGCAATTCTACAAAGTAAACTAAGATGTTGGGCTGTTGGATTTTGACTACCGTGAACTCTAGAAGCATGTTTACTCCCTATTTTTCTCAATCTTTTGGCAGTAATACCATATGGATTTAAAAATTTGCTAAATGCTCTAATATTGCGTTTTCCATTATCACTATATACAGGATAACGTAGCTTTCTGGTTGCTATTGCATCTTGAATCCAAGTAAGCAATTCCTTTGCGCGTTCTGGATTTTTTTCCATGGAAAGAAATGGTCAGGGCTCAGGATTAACCTCCTTTTCTCCCTTATTCTTAATAAATCCTGTACAATACCAAGAATAACCAGGTTTGTACCATTTTGGAGGGTCTGGTTCATCAGGTGAGTTGGAGACTCGAAGCTTGGCTTCTTCACAATGGATAATACGTAGAGTAGTAACTTCAGCGGGTCTCATACTCAACATCATAATCACGTCTGCAAGATCCTGCATAGTTGGAATTTTAGTAGTATCGATACTTTGAATCCTTCTGAGTCCCTCCTCTAAGGAGAAGTGTTTAGGGGTTTTAGGAGCATTGGGTAATCGCTGTACAAGTTGCCTCTTCTGAATTTCATTAGAATCTTGAGTAAGTGCTGAAAATTTAGCATATATATCAATTACTTTAGAATCAACTCCAGCTTCTTTCAATTCCTTACGAAATAATGTAAGACGTGAGTTGGATGCGACAATTTCTTCATCACTATTATTTTTTGTCTTGATTAAATCTAAAGCATGTAACCAAATATCATATGGATCTTCAGTTTTTGCACAATATTGAGCTCTCTCTTTGATAGTAAGTTTTTCATTCCTTTTATCTGGTACAAGAGCCTTGATCTGATATTCTTTGAATAAGCGTCGGCGAAGAGCTTCTTTCACACTTTTGCGGGCTTTCCAATCTGGAAGCATAGCACCAAGTTCACTAGCATAGACACGTAATTGAGATGGGCTAGATTCAGTGGACAAGTTATATTTTTCTAGGAACAGGTCCAAAATCGAGGTAAAGTTATTAGTTCTGGGCTTTCGGATTTTTGAGGCAGTTGCCATGATCATATTGATAGTATATTTGACAAGTAGATCGTGATTATCTATTGACCTACTTATTCTTTCAAATTGAAAATTAATTATCTCGGGTCAGAATATCTAATATTTACCCAAAATTGAATGGGTCGCAGTTATTGTAATTCTGTCAGAAAATGGACATGAACAAGACACAAATTTGATCAAAAGTCTTGGAATCCATAGCTTTATAAAGAGGTCTTGGAAAAAATAATTAATATATGCCAAGCGCATGATTATACTTCATGTCTAGAATCGGGCAAGTCAGGTATATGATTCTCAAGCATAACAATTTTTGCATGTAATTCAGCCTGCTTTTTTTTGATGATAATATTCTCTTTTTCGATACTTACTTGCATGATTCCAGCATGCACCATATGTAGAATATGTTAGCTTACCGCATTCCCACCTTCTTGCATATATGCTCGAAGCCAGCGAAAAATGGCCTATAGTAAGGTGAGTTATTCCTTATATATCAAGATATTTCCCCTAGTTTTATAACTTTCTATTCATACCCAGAATTAGATAAGTCAGGCAGATTCTCAAACATAACAATTTTTGCACGTAATTCATCCTGCTTTTTTCTGCGATAATTCTCTCTACTTTGATATTTGCCTACATGTTTATAGCATGCATTATGTATAGAACTATTTAGCTCACCACAATCTCTACAAGGAGTACGTACTGGAGATTTACAATGAATATAACATCCTCGACCACAGATTTTTCCAGTTCTGTGAATATATTGGCAATGATAGAATGCCATTTGGTTTTATTGTTTTTGTATATAATAATTACTTCAATCAAATTTATATTATTTGGGCAAACTTGGTTGCTGAAATTTTTGGAATAATTAATTTTATTTTAAAGATTTATCTATTAATTATTATAGTTTCAAAATAATAATACATATATTACTACATATACTTTTTGTCAGATCAAACAACGCATATATACAAATCAATAAAATGAGTTTATCTAGTGAATCAAAAAAA